AAACAGGAGAGAGGAGAGTAAGTATTCACGGACGTAGGTAGCTGAGAGTACTCTGGTATTTACTAAGAGAGGGGAAGAGGCAAAAGCAAGAGGGGTCATTAATGACCCGTATTGGTAGTGGAGGGAACCTACTACTAAGGTAGAAGAAATGGTAAGCGATAACAATGGCTGAATACAGCGAGTAAGGTATCTTTTCTCTTCCCTTCTTTATTTTTATATTATTTTATTCAATTATATACATATTAAAAAAAAGAAAAGAAAAGAAAAGAAAGAAACCAGAGGAGGGTGTCTAAATGAAATGGAAAACAAAAAACTAAACTACTGGAGGGCAATCCAATAGTAAATGAGAAAGGTATTAATTACCTCAAATGTGAACCAAAAGCTAGCACGGGTAGGGGGGTGTTGAGGTGATGAGCAAGCTGACCAGGGGATTCCAAAGTACACTGGGCAGTATTAGCTCCTGTTCTTACTTGCTTCATGGTAGGAATGCGGCTGCCAGCTGGCTGTTGAGAGGTTACTGGATTGCAGTTACCGCGCGATCGACCATCCCGCGATGGCTACATAAGGAAAATGATTGGCTATGACGGCCTTTCGTCGGGTCTCATGCTTGCGAGTGATGGCGCTCAGGCGACACGCCACGACAAGGCCCCAGGACAGACTTGGATTGTAATGGGTTGCTGCCACCTGCTCTATCAGCGTGGGAAGCGCGGCAAGGCGGCAACAGGGGAATGTGTAGAGTTTAGTGGGTCCGACCGACTTCCAATGTGACTTGAATACGTACCTCTTTCTGTGGGGGAGGAATTTCCCGCTTGATTTTGGTCGCTTACGAGGTCTTCTTCCTCAAGATATTCGTCATTGGCGCCAGACAGCACCGCAGGCGCGGTTACAGACCTAACTTAGTAGGTACCACAGCACCCAACTCGACCTGGGTCATTGATACCAACAGAGTATCTGATCAGAATTTGTCACATTCACTTCCCCCTCTTCCCCAACAAAAAATTTACTCATATACATGATTGCAATATGTTTTGGGATCTACTTATCATTGCTCCCGTAATAATATCTATCGCCTTCTCATTCTTACTTTTGTCAAAGCCGGAAGCTCCTTTGAGATTCAGCTTCGTATTCTTGTGTAGTCAATACTTTTAGGAATAATCCGATGGCAAATTGTATCTCATTTATCCTGCCTGACTGGATTCACCTTTCTATACAAATTCAAGGCCCCGAAAGCCAAGGGTAATCATTTGTTAAACGCTCTTAGCTATAGACAGCAAAAATATCTGTACGAGACTGACACGAAGGTGGTCCGAGGAGCACATGGTAAGAGGTATCTATTCTCAATTTTAGCCTAGTGTTCCTTGGTTCTACATACCAAAATGGTGTACGGGTTAGAACACCGTGACCAAGGTAGATTCGAATCCTAGGATGTAGACTTAGATAACTTGGAAGTTCCTCGGGTCAAACGCTCTCTCCATACAAAACGCAGCTGACTAATCATTTATGGACGTAGTTAATTATTTACTAACGAGTTTAGTTACATTGTGCCCGATAGAGTTCCAATAACTTGAGCAACGCTGTTCACACCGCCAGTGAGTTGAGTCTACACGGATTTTTTTGTTTACCCCGTCTTGGGTTTATCCATATCCTAAACCCGCGCCTGCATCAAGCTGGGCCATACAGCCCCACTTTACCTCAGGGCATCTTGCCTCTCGTCAAAACAGTAGTAATTTGTTCTGAGGAGCTTACTTCCGGCCAACCCCTCTAAAAGAGAGCCTTGACCCCACCAAACATTCCACCCATTCGCTTTACCCTGTACTTGTCATAATACGTGCAAATTCTATACTGGGTTAACTTGAGCTCCCCTTTACCTGCGCCTGTGTCCGGGACGCGTTGACAAGCTGTGCAAAGGGCCGTATCGCCAGCTTTGGGAACGGAATGTCGGTATCCATACAAGAGTTGGACAACACTGTCCAAGCCTTCTATGAAGGCAAAGGAGATCTGGTATGTTATCCCAAACATATCCTGCGTTCCCCTTCCAGTAGCCCTCTATATTTCCCTCTATCTATCTTATGATCCTTGTGCAACGATACAGAGCACTAATGATATAATTGCAAATTATAGCAAAAGCAAGCCCAGCAGACACTGACAGAAGTGAGTCGCTGATATACACCGCATGAAAGGGATTATCTGACCTATCTTGTATTGCTAGTTCAAGCAAAATCCGGATGCCTGGTTAATTGTAGGGAATATTCTCCAGGAGTCATCGTATCCACAGACCAAATGTGCGATATCGACCCTTGAGTATGTTAATTGGGATTGGGCTGATGATGCTAGATCTTGCTCTCCAAGTTCTTGACGATGTAATCATGACTCGATGGAAGGTTCTACCGAGAGAACAATGCCTAGGTAATCCCTTTCTAGGACTTCATATCCGGGTCTGTCTGAGTTTGTCTGACGGTTGCAGGTATCCGAAATTTTATCGTTAACTTTATCATTGAAAACTCTAGCTCGGAAGAAAAGTTAAGGAGCGAGCGAGCGTTCTTGAACAAACTAAATCTGGTTCTTGTTTCCATTTTGAAGCAGGAATGGCCTCACAATTGGCCGACTTTTATCAACGAAATTATCTCCTCCTGCCACACAAGCCTTTCCATTTGTGAGAACAACATGGCAATCCTTCGCTTGCTATCGGAGGAAGTGTTCGACTTCTCTCAAGACCAGATGACCTCCGTAAAAGCAAGGAATCTGAAGACTTCTATGACACAGGAATTCTCATCAATCTTCCAGTTGTGCTCCGAAGTGCTCAATACCGCAAACCAACCTAGCTTGGTTAAAGCTACACTGGAGACCCTCCTACGCTTTTTGAACTGGATTCCGCTGGGATATATCTTTGAAACACCTATCATAAGTACCCTTCTGACACGGTTTTTGGACGTTCCCGAATTTCGCAATGTGACTCTCAAATGCCTGACTGAAATTGGCGGGTTACAGATCGGTAACCCTTATAATTACGATGAGAGGCTGGTACATATGTTTACAGAGACTTTGACGATAGTTTCCAAGATAATCCCACTATCAATGGATTTGAAACAGACATATGCCAAGAGCAACTCGCGAGATCAAGAGTTTGTACTCAACCTTGCGCTCTTCCTTTCCAGTTTCTTCAGCGCCCATCTCAATGTAAGTTTCGGAAGTTTCCCGCTCCCAAACGCTCATAGAGTCACTGATATTTATTGCTCTCCTCCCCTTTACCCAGGTTATTGAAAAATTACCAAATCGTGACTATCTCACTCATGCGCACTTTTATCTTATTCGCATTAGTCAAATTGACGACAGAGAAGTTTTCAAGATTTGCCTAGAATACTGGACGCGTCTCGTGCAGGAGCTTTATGAAGAGATGCAGCAGCTCCCAATTACCGATATCAATCCTTTGGTGAGCATGGGCGTCAGTGGCTTATCTAACGGTGGAGCGCCTCATCCCAGCACCTTGGCCAATTACCCCCTCCGCAAGCACAAATATGAAGAAGTTTTATCAAGCCTGCGTACAGTCATGATAGAGAAAATGGTACGCCCAGAAGAGGTCCTGGTCGTCGAGAACGATGAAGGTGAAATCGTCCGCGAGTTCGTCAAAGAGAGTGATACGATCCAACTCTACAAGACAATCCGGGAGTGCTTGGTCTACCTTACACATCTCGACGTTGTTGATACGGAGAATATAATGATCGAGAAATTGGCTAAACAAGTCGATGGGTCTGAATGGTCATGGGCCAACTGTAATACCCTTTGCTGGGCTATTGGGTCAATCTCCGGAGCCATGAACGAAGAGACCGAGAAGCGCTTTCTTGTTACTGTCATTAAGGACCTATTAGGTCTCACAGAAATGAAGCGTGGAAAAGATAACAAGGCTGTTGTGGCCAGTAACATCATGTACATTGTGGGGCAGTACCCTCGCTTTTTGAAGGCTCACTGGAAGTTTTTGAAGACAGTTGTCAACAAGCTCTTTGAGTTTATGCATGAGACACATGAAGGTTGGCTATTCAATCACTTTACCAGAAGCCTTGATTCTAACTTCCAATAGGTGTTCAGGACATGGCTTGCGACACCTTCATAAAGATCGCCAATAAATGCAGACGCCATTTTGTTGCCCTTCAGCCTGGGGAAAACGAGCCATTCATTGAGGAAATCGTTCGGAGCATGAGGAAAATTACTTGTGACCTTTCGCCGCAGCAGGTCCATACATTCTACGAAGCATGTGGTTATATGATCTCTGCACAGGGTCAAAAGGGCCTCCAAGACCGGTTGATTGAGAATTTAATGTCATTGCCTAATTCTGCCTGGGATGCTATTATAGGCCAGGCAAATCAGGATCCCTCGATCCTCCAAGATGGAGAAACGATTAAGATCATTGGCAATATCATGAAAACGAACGTCGCTGCCTGTTCGTCAATTGGCACCTACTTTTACTCTCAACTAGGACGCATTTACCATGACATGCTAAACATGTTTCGAGCTTCTAGCCAGCTTATTAGCGATGCTGTTGTGCAGGATGGTAATGATCACGGCACTGCTCTCCTTTTATTGGAGATAATCGCTAATTGTTTGTCTTATAGGAGAAATTGCGACAAAAACACCCAAGGTCCGAGGACTTAGGACGATTAAAAAGGAAATCCTCAAACTCATTGATACTTACGTCCAGAAGGCGGACGATTTAGAAATGGTCAATGCAAACATGGTCCCGCCTCTGCTCGAGGCTGTGTTGGTGGATTACAATCGTAACGTTCCAGATGCGCGCGAAGCAGAGGTTCTGAATGTCATGACAACTATCATCCACAAGCTTCATGTATGTTTGGCTCTGGCGTGCTTTCTAGACCCTTGTGGATAACTTGTTGGGTGCAACAACAACAAACTGACCTGTTTCCAGAATTTGATGGAAGACAAGGTTCCCCTTATCATGGAGAGTGTGTTCGAATGCACTCTAGAAATGATTAACAAAGACTTTCACGAATATCCGGAGCACCGGGTCCAATTTTTCAAGCTGCTCCAAGCGATCAACCTATACTGTTTCCCAGCCCTGCTCAAACTTGATGCTACACAATTCAAGTTCGTAATCGACTCTTGCATGTGGGCCAGCAAACACGACAATCGCGAGGTCGAGAACACGGGTCTTACGATGTGCCTTGAGCTCATGAATAATATGGCCGAGACAGATACTCAGACTTCGAATATCTTCTTCCGGCAATTCTACATTCCAATCCTGCAAGATGTTTTCTTCGTGCTCACCGACAGCGACCATAAAGCCGGTATGTATATACACTCTGAACTTAGATGTGAGGAGTTACTAACTATCTTACAGGATTCAAGTCTCAGGCGATGCTCCTGTCGCGTATGTTCTACTTCGTTGAAGCTGGAAAGGTGCAAGATCCCATTTACTCCCCGGAACAAGCACCACTAGGGACTTCGAATAAGGACTTCCTCCAGGAATATGTTGCAAATCTTTTGCAAAACGCATTCAAGAATCTACAGGAGTATGTTCTATCTCACTGACTGTACCGGATAAATTTAGATGTGCTGACTTTGTTACAGAATTCAGATCAAGCAATTTGTCATCGGGTTGTTTGCATTTAATGATGATTTCAATAAATTCAAGACTCATTTGCGGGACTTTTTGATCTCACTGAAGGAATTTGCTGGGGACAATGCAGAGCTCTACGCAGAAGAGAGAGAGCAGGCACTACGAGATGCCAAAGCTGCAGAACGGGATCGTGCCATGAAAGTTGGGGGCCTTCTGAAACCATCAGAAATGGACCAAGAGGATGAACTATGACTAGACAGGGAACTACGTTGTGAGGTTGCCCCGTTCCTATCCACCGGCGCCACAGAACACCCGAAAAAGCCGATGGCTATGTCAGGGGAAGACCGGCTAGACGGCTGGGCCTGTTATGGGCTTTGAACAAGGTCAAGATCCGGCCTTCTTGCTAGGTCTGATGTGTTTTATATTATCTTCCTCCCCACATTTTCTTTTCTTCATCTCTCGGCCATAGGTGATAAACTGCCCCATATTTCCTCACTCCTGTTCTAGTATCTGGCTGTTATATGCAATCAATCTTGGATCTCTATCCGATTAGCTGCAGCTCACTTATTCAAGCCGCTTTCATGGCGAGTTGTTGTCTATGCCATTGCGACTAATAGGCCCTTTCAAGTTGGTAAAATCTTTCGCTGCATGTTTTCCTTCAGCGAGTCTTTATGTAGCTTCAGTTGCACATCACAAACCTCAAGGTTAGATGCGATGTATCAACCCTAAGGTTCCTTTATTTATTTTCTGTTGCTTGTAACCGCAGAAGTATTTAACCCATGGCAATCTTACGAACAAATGAGCGAAAATATAGGCGGTGAGCCGCCAATCAAGAATTTCTCTCAAAGGTTGGGGACCTGACTAAGTTTAGTTTAGCATTACAGAATTCAAATGCCCTAGCATCAGAGCCATATCAGTCTGCAGTGGCTTGGACTCTTCTCGATCGATATTCTTCTTGAAGCAATTGTCCTACGCATAGATATTCTTTTCAACCATATGAGTCTTTCCCATGATGTCTAGATCCCGACAAATAGCATCAAGTGGGACATCCCGGGTCGAATCGGTGCCTCAACAGCCTAACAATACATCAACAGTTCGAGTTCCAGGAACACTCAGATTAAGGGCAGAAAATGAACCAACGGTCGAGTCTAACACTGAGAACAGAGGTTTGCACCGGCATATACGGTGGAGTGAGGATGTCATAGATAATGAAGGAATGGGGAAAAAGAGCTCCAAAGGTGAGTACCGCTACGCTACAAACGGCGTGACCTTCTGCATCGTGCTTTCCTTGTCATCCAAGGCTAACGGATATGGTGAATCGTAATGGATACGTAGTATGCTGCATCTACCATAAAGCTCGACCAGTCGGTGAAAGTAGTTCAGAGTCTGAGTCCTCTGATTCTAATTCATCTGACTCTGATAGCGATAATGAGATAGGCAATCCCAGGAACATCCTGGGCCGTTCGTTGGTGCATCGTAATACCGACAATCAGTCTCATGACCATGAATCCGAACATGACAGGGAAAGAGGGCAGCTACCATGTTGCCCAAATCACGACAGAAAGCCTAAGCGGAGGAGACCAAGTCCCAATGCCTACGAGAAGATGCCTAGGACGACAAAAGGGCGCTAAAGGATCCAACTCTTGTCTAATTTACAATACTCAGCAAAATTCAACTGGACCAGCTCTCGCATCTTGTCAGTATATGTTGTGCAGAGTTAGCCTTTGCAGTCCGCAAAGGTTTGTCAGCTCAACTGGTCATCTACGAAAAAGTGATGGGGCTGAAACAAGTGTTGCCGTTCGTAGCGCTCTGCTTCAATCAATAGTGAAGGATTCAAGTGATCATTGAGCCCCTAAGAATACTGTGGATTTATACAGAAGTAGCCTAAACACGGAAAGGGGTATCTATCTCATAGTCTAACAAACTTCGATCCAGGGGTCATGTAGATGCAGATTGTCTCCAGACATGATTAACTGATCACAACATCATACTTTTTCTCCTAGCAGCGGCGCGTGGCACGCGCCTCATTTGCCTAGCACCTATTGCTAGCCCTATGGCTGATGGGGGAGATTCTGATGCATGCATGAATGCCCTCGGTTCGCTGATATTCCCAATTGATGTATCATTAGACCCTCCCAAACATGCTCTAGAGCCTGTCATACTTTCTTGCTCGGTACCTGAAACACTCATCTCGTGTTTGGGGGAATAATGACACCGCCCAGAGGATCTGGGATTTGAGGAGTGCCGTCGGGACAGCCTGCTGGGGACTGCTGCTGCCGCTGCTCTAGATATACTCTTCGATAACTCCTTCGGCATGTCACTAGGGTCCACTGCAGTCGGTGATCCATGCTTCCCTGTGCTTCCCGTTTGTACCTCGGCCATAGGTTGATCACTTGAGACCTCAACTAGCTCGCAGCCCTCGAATATCCGACAGGAATGGGGCTCGTTTATCTCATTCGTAGGATCATTTCCAGGCGGTGCATCTTCTTTACTTGCAAGTGAGGCCTTCCTTTGTTTCCGAGACATCATATTCGCTGGTTGCCAAGGGGGGTTATCGGAAGAAGTCGTCGGAAGTGTGGTAGGGTCTCTGCCTCCCATATCTGAGTCTCGCTTTTTTCTTGCAACTATTTTGCCACTTTTACGCTCTTCAAATTCACCGTTTGAATTCGTTCGAACAGAACTGGAACCGGATGTCCTCCTTAGATGATGGTCGCCTCCCACTGCTGCTATGAATTCATCCGTTGGACGTCTCATCTTATCCCTTAGATTAGGTTCTGCGTAGCTTACGACAGATCTTTGGCGCCTCGTGGGTCTAGACGAAGCATTAAGTAAGGATATGGATGTCTCAGGCTCATGTTGTACTTGAGAGACTGCAACGGGTGGCGAAGATGGGCGCGATGTGTCTTCAGCCACGTGAGTGTGAATTTGAATCTCTTCTTGCCTAGCCTTATCAGAGTCATTGCAATGAGATCTCTCGTTTGGGGCTAATTGTTGACCGTGTATATCCCCCTTCAAACGGGCTGGATCTATCGGCTTATTCTCGTCTGTCGCATTGTTCCTTCTTGCGGGGGTCTTACAATCTTGTCCATGGGCTTCAGTAGCTAGGGGCTCGATTGAAGATAAGTTTGTGCTCTCTATATTTACATTAGCTGCACTATTCATAGAAGGGGATTAATCGCAACATACTCGGCTCGAGCACTTTTCGCTTAGGTCGGCTATCACCTTTGGAGCCTGCCCTCTGAGAGCTTTGCCTCTCAACTGGCGAGTGATCGTTGCATTTCGGTAGTAATTGGTCGCGCATCAACTGTGGCAACTGGGTAGGTCGAGTGAATTGGAAATCGTCATCATCTGAGGCTGCAAATGCAAAATCGCCATCGTCACTACCAGAGAATTTACGTTTGGAACCTGGATTTAGCACGAAACTTGACTCCCTTCGTGCAGGAAACTCTCCGGGGTTCATATCGAGAATATCTTCGCGTATTTTGCCGGACCCAGCCTTCCTCTTTTTCCTTGTTTCAAGGGTTGGGGGAAGAATAGCTTCACTGGGGCCTAGGGAGCTGTCAAACTCTTGGGTATCCGCAACGGCTTCAGACAATGTCGAGTATGGATCATCGTCCATACTGTCCATTTGGAATATCGAAGGGTTCTCTTGGCCCGAAGATTGCGGGGCATTCATGTTGTTGTTCATCAGTTCTTGCATTTCCTGCGGCCTGCTGGCATTCAGTAAAAGCCCTTGACGGTCCGCGAGAAATGCCATGTCTCACTTACTCTAGTGTCTTTCGTGGATAATATTTGTCTTCCAGTATAACCGGAAGCCTACCGTCTTGCTCGAGTGCGGGATAAGCTTCAAGGCCAGCTATGTTATGTCTGGGATCCGAGCCTGATTGCTCCTGATGTGCAACTTCTGTTATCCCGCTGGCTGGCTTGTTGAATTTGCGCGGCAATGCGCCCAAATCAGCTACTAAGCCTCCTAGCTCCATCAATTTATTGTCAAGTCTCGCCTTGATGTCGTAGACTCCATCCTGGAACAACTTGGCCGCCTCGAATCTCTCTATTTCTTGGCTAAGATTTATGACTCGCTCTCTGAGGGAAACATTCTCTGAAAGGAGATGCGAAACTTCTGACTCAAGGCTGCGGATTCGAAGGGACTGTATCGAATTCACTCGGGCGATTTCGCGATTCTGGCGCACGAATCGCCGTTTCACTGAGGTATTGGAGAGGTTAACACCAGACCGTTTACCAGACACTAGTAATCTAAGAGAGGTAATGCATATAACTCACATATTTCAATGGATTCCGTCGAGGTTGTTGATTCGTTTAAGCGAGCCATGCTTCATAAGCCGATGCAGACTGCACTGTCTGCCTTGCCTTCCTTTCGCTGACCAAGCCAGTTGCGGGGGGCGTGATGAAGCTTTGAAACGAGATTAGACTATGAAGAAATGAGAAGCCCCCGTCCTGGTCGTTGGATGGTTGGTGGAGAGTTTCCTTCCTTGTGGGTAAGTTACTTGAAAGAGCATGTAAACAGAGTGCTACTAAGTTGTTGATATTTGCCCCGACTAGGATTAGCGGGTAAAGTGGGTTGACTGCTTGGGACTCTAGTTAACTAGTAACTACCACCGACGTATTACATACTCCGTATCTCTGACAATCTACCGTTGTGGAAGTTATCATCTGATTTGAATCCAGAGATAAGAAACTATCTTTTAGGTACTTTGCTCGACTAACTCGGATACCGTTGTTGATATGACCTACATGTCGCGACCTACATCAATGCTTCCGTCAGTGTCTTCTACAGGTTCATCTTTTCGTCAGCCAAGTACTCACCATGCTGCGCCGCAGCAATCGTCGGCCCTGGCAGCCCGAATCGCGTCGAAGAAGGCCGAGCTAGATAATCTGAAGCAACTTCACGAAATGAGTGGTGCACTAGCGATGCAAATGCAAGTGTTAGAAGAGAAGATAGGGACGCTTAAGGATGGCACAGAAGGTTCGTTAACTTCGGCTTGCACATGCTGCCAGTTTACCCTCAGAGGCCGCTCTTGCGATTCCTTGAAGGAAACAAAATTCAGTGAATTGATTGACTACCCACGCTTCATGCTAATGCTTGCTGTCTTGCCGGGTTTAGCTGTTGCCTGCGTTCTTGCTAACTGGGACAATGTTCTGCGGTCTATTAGCATGGCCTCTAGTAAGTTCGCCACCTTATTCTTACTTGTACTAGCACCGCTGAAATCTTTATCACTGGTTGACATTGCTGACCCCTTGGTTCCCTGAACAGCAGAAGCTGTAACTGTTCAAAGACCGATAACGCAAAATACCAACACCTTGTCTGAGGATGATAAAGCAGTTGATTACCCCATGCCTGCGACTCTAGTCCGAATCCCAGCAGAAGCAGTAACGACGAGAGATTAATGCACGGCTTCTGTTAAACCTGCAGTGTTCATTATAAGTTGTGCCTCTTCTGGTACCGCTGTACAAAATTATAAACACCATGACACAAGGCCAATAAAACTGATACTGAGCGCTCATTTTATAAACTTAATACATTGTTGGACTTACTGTAGTGTGACCCAAGCAACAGGGGCATACTATGCACACTGATTGTTATCATTGTCCTGGAAAACTGACATGACGGGTGCATCATTGTATATTTCACTCCGGCTGAAATAGACAACGAGCCCGGTTTATGGATAAGTGAGTTGTTTCCTGTTTACCTGTTAATATAAACCGGGACAGGGTATGCAATTCTTGTATAACTCAGCCAGCATGCACACATACCATTGCCAATGTCTATAACGAGAAATCTCGATATGTATTTCCCATGACATGTTTATGCTAGAATAGGGAGGCTAGAGAGTAAGCCTGGGGAACTTATGAACTGGCCAAAGTAGCAGATTAACAAAGCTCTGTCAATATAATTTCCATTTTGTGACCTTTTACAAGTGGCTAAAACTACTAACCGACCCCGGAACTCTAGTGTAGAGGTCGGTTACTTATTGAAGATTGTACTGGGTCTTCAGTTGCTAGTTACAATAATTCTTTAATATAGTATTGTTGGGAAGGAATTGAGGGAAGGAGAGAAGAAGCCGTAAGATGGACAGAATCCATTCATTTATCGATAGTAAACTAAACATGGGATCAAACAGAATATCAGTAGGCATGCAATTCATTTCCGGAATTCATTCTTTGAATCTACTGAATTATACTGAAGGATCCCAAATAGGTATTAGTATATCAGTATAAATCACAGATCCTTTAATCTAGTATGTGAAGGTTGTTTAGTTTCAATTTTGCTTTCCGGCCCAGCAAGGAAGTCTCCTCTGTTAAATCCTCTCTTATTCCTTCTGTATTCTTTCTTTTTTCTAGGGATATTCATATGTTCTCACTGGGAATGGGAATGATCAGATCTAAACCCTACCCAAGATTCTCCTGAGTGAGGCAGATACACAAGATTCGCATACCCTTTCAACAATCTAGTGACTTTAGAAATACTGTACTGTATATATCTCCATTGAATCGATATTTTTGAACTATCTTTAGTTTATTTAAAATAGAAGTCTTTCTCTAATTTGAATATCGCTGATTATAAAACTTTAATCTAAATTCAATTTAATAAAGAATTAGTTAAGTTATAAGTATTTGAAAATGGCTAATTTTTAAAGATGGCGCGTGAAAATTGAAAAAATATACCAAGAACTGAAGATTATTTTATATACACTAAATGACAGTATAAGCCTAGAAAATAATCAGATACCACAGATGAAGCGGCAAAGGATATATTAAAATCTGGCAATATAACTCTGATACAAGGTGCACTGCAACAGAATATCTATCCTATATTAAGTGCTACTCAATACAAGTACAACTACAACATTTTATCTTATAATTCTCAAGAACATCCCGCCTCATAGGATATTTGTTACTGGGCTTTATGGAAAGGGTAATAATAACAAACCAATATTATCGATATATTATGCGTTGAGGACATAGAAAGAAGAAGTAGACTGATACAAGTATTGCTGAAGCCACCACATAGAACTCTCCACAATACAATGTGAGGCTATAATTATACTCCGTACCTAATTTATTAAATCCACCTTTTTTACGTGGCTGAATTTACCAAGTAATTAATGGCAAGAATAATAATTATTGGGCCGCTTTTATACAATCGGAGTATATAAATGTAATATGAATTTCTGAAACTTCAACTTACCCTAAGTCAAGTTGAAATAACCTACCTTACCGCATGGATGAGCGACTTGGACGATACACGACATCTGTCTTAGTCTACGTCCATTTTCTTGTTTCGAGGCCGCCAGTACTCCGTAGAGCATAAATCTACTCTGTACTACTATTTAGTACCTGATCACCGTGTACCCGTGGACCACTCCCCACAATCCAATCCAATCAAACCCAGAACAAGTAATCGTACTTAAGTTTTGTTATTTGTATGGAGGGTAGCTGGAGAGGAGGGCCTGTGTTTCTCCACCCTCAGAGTAGTATGTCGCTCCAATCACTGATCTTACACGTACAACATTCCTACTCATCCAATCTTATATTGATATCCAGTCAGATTAGACTTTTTTCAATGAACAGTTGCACAAGGTAGTGATACCACTGGATTTCTGACCACTGCTGGAACAACCTGGTTTCGTATAAACCAAACCACTGCTGCATACTTGATCTTTGATCATGTACATCAAAATATATCCTGAAAAAGAGAAATATCTACAATTTATTGTTATTTGGCTCTTCCTTGCTACCTAAGCATGCTTCCTATATACTAGACACGTAGTGGACATCGGTATACCTGTACTACCAAGGATAAGTTTAGTTCACCCCTCCTACTCCACTGGGCGTAGAGCTGTGAGATACGACTCAATAGATAATATCAAGCACCTAATAATTTGAATAAGAATGGGCTATATGGCGTGTTATGGCTATAACAGTCATATTCCAATAGCGGGTTGTGCTAAATATATACTAATAGTGATCTTCTGTGCTAAGCTGTCCTCTTGCTTATTCTCCTACTGAATTTCCTAAGTTACACCTTTCCGAAAGTCTCACTCCCACCATTGCTTTCGAACCTAAAGATCACACCGGTACTCCTCTTTCCAACATCGGTCTTTGATTGGTAGCTGAGTTTTCATCTTTAGTCACCTCGCGCCGCCCCCCAAGAGCGCCTCATCAGATTGTTCTATACTCCCTCGTCATCTCGATTCTCCAAGGTCATATAGACCAGAATGGCCACAGGATGGTCTCTTGACTTTTGTCTAGTTTGTGACCGACAGGCCTTGGGAGGGCTCTACTGTTCTCAATCCTGTAGACTCGCCGAGCTAGATCTCATGGAGGAGGTTGTGGTGATTGGTACTCCTGTGTCAATCTACCCACAAAGGATTGACACGACTGCAACAGAAATTGCAGCCAAGTACCCTCGAGTTAGTACTGTTCAGGGCCATATCGGGGACTCAATTCTACCATCTAATAATATCTCTACATCATCACAGATAATCTCGTCGTTGTTTTCTCAAACCTCTCTTTCCTCACTTAAAAGCAATTTATCATATGACCCTACAATATCTGATCGAATTCAAAATCAGTTGCGTGACTATGTAACCTGTTTTGGCCAGGTTCGTAACTTAAAGAGATAATTAGCCTCATGAAACTTCATGATGACTGCGATGCTTGTGAATTTGCACATCCGAATCTACTTCGAGACCTTGCTAGCAAACAGATAAAATATAAATTTAACACTCCTATGTGCCTTTGTGTTTGCAAGTTTGCTATTTTATTTTCTTTCCTGTTTAATCATCACAAATGCAGAACTGTGGAGCGAGATTAGCCAAAGGACATGGTTCGCCGAATCTGCATCACCCTTCATTGTTGAATAAAGCTACCTTGCTCTCGTAGCTTTTGGAATAGCCACTGCGCCTGCCTATATGGAATCACCCTTCCTATCTTTGGTTGCCGGGCATACTGTAGGAATGGAAAGCATGATTATCCAGTAGCAGTTAAATTAAAAACACAAGACTGATCGCAGGTCCTTGACCATGTTACAATGAACATGTGTGGTGTTCCTGATTTTCATGTGAGATAACGGGGAGAAGCAGAACCGCGTATATTTTTAGGCACAGTAAGATATCAAGGGTGGTTCATAATATGCTCAAAAAAGGGATGAACATGCGGAAGATGAAATGAAAGGAGGGAGGATATATATCAGTATAAAACATCCGTGCAGCAAGAACCATCCTCATATAGCATGCTTCAATGAAGACGTTGAACCAAGAACATCCTCAAGCAATTTATTGTCCCTGGGAATAAATCTGACCTTATACTTTTTCGGAATTGCCACTAGGCTTGTAGGATCTGAATTGCCATGGACAGGGTGCCAGTTGATCTCGTCATATGGTTCAATCTTGAAGCTGTTAATGGTGCGCATGAAGATCAAATACAGTTCGCGGTTAGCAAGGAGTGAGCCTGCACACATGCGGTAGCCTAGCCCGTAAGTGAACAAAGGCGCATCGGGCTGTTCAAACCATCTTTCTGGCCTAAACTCCTCCGGGTCGCCCCAGGTTTCGGAATCTGTGCAAGGTATAGTGTTACTTAAGTGTGGCCTAATAGACAACAGAAGGTCAAGGCAAGGGAATAATAAAAAATCACCTACCCATATTACAAGCCCACGAATTTAGAAAGAAAACTGTTCCCTTAGGAATTATATTGCCGTCGTAGGTAATATCTCTGATCGATGTCCGAGGGAGAGCCAAGCGAAGGACCGTAAAGTACCTATACAATACTTAGGTAACCCACTCAATTTGGGCACAAGGGATGACGAACCTTAGACACTCTCGTACCAGCGCAGCAACATAGGCGCATTTCTGGTCATCTGCAGCATCGCACATTGGTTGGTTAGGACCATACATGTTCAGAATCGCTTCCGCGGCTTTGTCTTGAATGTCTGGGCGCTTGGCAAGGAGACCGATACTCCAAGCCACAAGCGTAGTAACAGTATCAAGCCCTCCTGAGAGCATAGTCAAGCTGATTGAGGTAAGTTCTTCTGAGTTCAACTTTGCTTCCTGATCAAGGATGACATTGGCTTGGATACAGGGTTTATGGATTCCTTTCTCCATACGATCGTCTAGATCACGGTTGAGTCCATTGAGGTACTTATCTCGCCGATCTCTCATCTCCTTGGCTTTCTTCGAGTTAGTATTGAAGGGGTTTAGCCGCAAGAGAGGTATGTAATCCTGCAGATTGCCCGTGGTGCTCCTGAATTTGCTTATTTCTTCCTCCACGTAGGTGATCTCATTGAACAAATCCTCTTCCTGTGATACCACACGCACGCCCCAGTTGAGAGTCAATGCCAAACTCAGACTGAGGCGTTGGATCATCGCCATGGGATCCACGGGTACGTTCCCACCCTTTCCATACTTAAGAAGTTCCGCCACGAATGCCTTGGATTCTGCATCCAGATGCGAGACATAGGAATCTACCGACGGCCGGTTAAGGGCTGAGGCGGCACCCTTCCTACGTCTTTTCAACGAGTCACTGTAGGGAGAAGTCCCGATGGTTGTGCCAGCAGTGTTGGACACGATCTGTATCCAAATCTGTCAATAGTGTATTTCGTGAGAATGGATATCGGGTCAACTCTACTTTATGGAAGGTGTAAAACTCAGGCCGTGAGCTTAAGGCCTGTGCATTCTGCCCAAAAATTGCCTTTGCAGAGACGGCAGAGTTCACAACGATTACCGGAATATTCCCCAACTGAATCTGATAAACGGGCCCATAGGTCTTGGACCATATGCGATACTGTTCAGCAGCATTCTTGCGAATTTGGGCGATGTTCCCAATTAAAGGTAGACCACGGGGCCCTTTGAATCCAGGAATACGAGAGGAAGCACGGATGAATTCATTAACAATGAAATAAAGAAAAGGGATGAGAAGAACTGCTATAGCTATTGACCGTAGAGGGATAAGAATGAGGCTTTGCTGTATAAAGGACAGAGATGCTGTTATGGCCATGCTGAACTATCTTAATAATGTCGTGGTTTGTCAGTGACACAGAATGCCACACGTCCATAAGGCCATTAAATAAAAGTCCTCGCAGGCCGCAAAGGAGGAAGTTTTCCGTTCTGTTAGACATATAAAAGAAGGATCTATAGCTCAAATCTACCCCACGTTTTCTGTATAGACAAAGTATTTCGGGTATGGCACAAAAAGATCCGATATTCATCGCGGAATTGATGCATCTGTTGTTATTACAGCCGAGCGAATTCCGCCCCCGGAATATTTCCGCCAACAGCCAATTCCTGGATAAGAGATATATAAGTACATACATACACCCGGTGAATATCTAACTCAATCTGTGTCGTCGATATTTAGACCTTATTTCCTCTAAGAAGTATCTGTATTGAGCTGTAGCCCAAGTAGATGCAATATGATCAGCGGATAGGGGATGACCTGGATCTATGGTGATAAGCATTAGAAACTAAAAACTAAGATAACGGGACGTAAGTATTTAATCCACATGCCCTAATTTAGTACAGATATATCTTTCATGGCTAAAAATTTGCACCAATGCCGACTGCACCTGGAAAAGTCTTTTATTACTGGGCAACTGATATATGTGAAGGGGGTTAGTACTAAACTTCATCCATCCTTTTCTTTAGAAAGTTTGCTAGATATGTATTGACTCGACCATAGCAAATGATATGAACGGCGATGTCCTTGCCACAATTAGCCTGATTAGTATTTTACAGGCCCTCAGATGTGCACTGGAGAGGTGATCACGACCTTTTTTTTTTTTTTTTTTTTTGCCGAGTTCACACTCGACGATATCATAATCACACTCTTGTGGGTGCATCCGTACTTTACAGATAATTGACGATAACATCGGGCGGACACTATCGGTGACTGGTGAATATGGGTAGTAATGATGATTATACATACTGCGTAGCTGGGAGATACTCCACTGTCAGGGTCTGGCTGGATAAGTGGATCGATCCCCCTAGCCAAGGTCTTGGAAATCGATAAAAACCAAACAAAATCAACTTCCCAATCTACTACTAAACTGATTACCACGTAATGGTCTGTCCGACTATGAAGCCCCAGCTTTGTCTAAGGGATCAGGGAATTGTACCTATTTCTTGTCTCGCCTCTTTGGCCTTTTATATCATATGGGCCTTATATTATAGAAAATATACCTACCAAATATATGTGAGTACACTTTTTCCTATATATAGAACACACGCCACTAGTTCGGCATTGGGGATCAAGCTTCTTGCCAATCGTCGACATAAATAGGCATTATAATGGGTTTGTCACCCCCGAAAGGGCAGCCGCGAAAACATGGTCATTTTACTGCCAGGGACAGGAATCGCGTGATATACAGTCTGCCGCTAGTCGATCTCTGTTATCCAGATTTCTATGCAACAAGGGGTCATGTGCTGAGCCCCAGGGTCTGGACCGCCTGAAGCTGTTGCGTACTAAGTACAGGAATGGTAATGGCAACAAAACTTTGCTGGTCACATGGAGGTACGGAGTTCGGGAACGACGCCTATATCATCTAGTGAGTCCCACCCAGGTCCCGGTGCTGCCGAGCTTTTAATTGGTGGGACAATCTGATTTGCGCCGTGTTGCCGTCATCTGGACCCGCCCCCGTCCTGCTCCAACCATTCCCGGATTTTCTTGTAAGGAAAATGCCCATGACGCATGACGAAGACGAGAAAGACTTGGAAGGTTACCCGGTCCGTCAACTCGAGACCGCGCATTCCCCAATTACAAACTGTCTCACACTCCGTCTCTAGGTAGGTTTATTTGGGCTCTCTCTCCCCATCCTCCTCCCATTCTAAGCGATCCATCCTGTCCCCTTTCCTTCAAACTTCAACCTCCCTACTCCCTCAATCTTTTCGTCGCCTGCCTATTCTGTTTCACGACCATTTGTCTCTTCTCGAGAGTCGTGGCCCCGCCTCCCCCGAGCAGTATAGGTACGTAAATGCTATTTCCCGAGTCACTGTCAAAAAACTTCCACGTTCGGTGTTTTGGAACTTGTCAAACCATCAACTCACGTTAAAACAGAGAAAGGTTTGCGCAAATACGTGCTCTGTATACATTTTCTGTTGGCGCTCCTCTCCTGCACTCCTGAGGTTGATTTACTGGGAATCTTCCTGGCCTTAATTTTTTCGCCGGACCTCCTGTAACATAGCTTATCCCTTGACATAATGGCCGCTCGTCATTCCCGCAGACTCTTACGGCCTCTGCTTTATACTTCGGCCGCAGCGGCTGCAGGAGCTGGTGTTCTGTACATCTCCTACCGTCCTCGCAACATCCCTGGCTCGGAAGCTCCCGCTGTACCACCCCCGGGTTATCATGAGGGGAAACTTGTGCCGCCGAGCTTTCCCTCAATTAAATCGCGTCTGGAACAGATTCAGGATTTGAGGCGCAGTTCCAGTGGTGATGATTCCGATGTGTATGACCTCCTTGTTATCGGTGCTGGCGCCACTGGGTCAGGCATCGCCTTAGATGCAGCGACACGAGGTTTAAAGGTGGCGGTTGTCGAAAGAGACGACTTCAGCTCTGGGACAAGCAGTAAGAGCACAAAACTGGTACACGGCGGCGTCCGCTACCTGGAAAAGGCCGTGTGGGAACTAGATTATAGCCAGTCAGTCTTCGTGAATAATTGTTAAAAAGTGAGACATGCTATAGGATGAAAACTGACTTCCCACATAGGTACAAACTTGTCAAGGAAGCGTTAAGGGAGCGCAAGTACTTTTTGAACACTGCTCCTCACCTCTCCAGCTGGCTTCCTATCATGGTTCCCGTTCAGAAGTGGTGGCAAGCTCCCTATTTCTGGGTTGGTACTAAGTTTTATGACTACTTGGCTGGGTCGGAAGGAATTGAGAGCTCCTATTTCCTGCCTAAGAGCAAGGCTATTGATGCATTTCCTATGCTGAGAAAAGATAATATGATTGGTGCCATGGTTTACTACGGTATGGACCTCACCAAAAACGCTGCCTATTGAATTCATCGACACTTTAGCATTACTGATAGCATATACAGATGGCGCTCACAACGACTCTCGTATGAACGTGTCTCTTGCGATGACAGCTGCATTGTATGGAAGCACTGTTGTGAATCACATGCAAGTCACAGGCCTCACCAAAGATGCCTCGGGCAAGCTAAACGGGGCACGAGTGAAGGATATCATACCAGGAAAAAATGGCCAAGAGGAAGGAGAATTTACTATACGGGCCAAAGGCATTATCAATGCGACCGGTCCGTTCACCGACTCCATCAGAAAGATGGATGAGCCTAATGTGAAAGAAATTGTCGCACCTAGTTCTGGGGTTCATGTTATCTTACCTGGATATTATAGTCCTTCGAACATGGGTCTCATTGACCCTTCCACGTCCGATGGCCGCGTCATCTTCTTCCTTCCATGGCAGGGGAACACGATTGCTGGGACCACTGATCAACCTACTGAAATCACGACTCAACCAGAGCCGTCTGAAAAGGACATCAACTGGATTCTGTCGGAAGTCCGTGGCTACATAGCCCCTGATATCAACGTTGAGCGGAGTGACGTGCTGGCAGCATGGTCTGGAATTCGGCCTTTGGTTCGTGATCCTAAAGTGAAAAGCTCCGAAGCATTGGTTCGCAACCATCTGATTACGGTTTCTCCGTCTGGGCTGTTGACATGTGCGGGAGGGAAATGGACGACTTACCGCCAAATGGCAGAAGAAGCTGTAGACGAGGCGATTGGTGTTTTCAATCTTACGCCCCGCCATGTCTCCCAAGCTCCAGATATTAGTGGTGTTGGAGGCAGCGGTTTGGTGGCTGATGGTGCCGTTCTTGACGGGTCATGTCAGACACACCAGGTCCGCTTGATTGGAGCTCACGGGTATTCTAAAACACTGTTTATCAACCTCATTCAACATTTTGGTCTCGAGACCGATGTGGCCCAGCATCTAACGCAATCATATGGTGATCGCGCTTGGCAGGTGGCAGCGTTGTCTTCACCGACAAACGCCCGCTTCCCTATTCGTGGCCGACGTATTTCTGCATTATACCCCTTCATCGATGGCGAGGTTCGCTATGCTGTTCGCCATGAATACGCTCAAACTGCCGTTGATGTCATTGCTCGCAGAACTCGATTGGCATTCCTCAACGCTGAGGCAGCGCTGGAAGCCCTTCCCAGTATCATTGACTTGATGAGCGAGGAACTCAATTGGGATACCAAAAGAAGAGACCTCGAGTGGAAAGAAAGTGTTAGTTTCCTTTCATCAATGGGGCTCCCCAAGAACTTCCTTGGATTGTCTAGGGCTCAGGTCGAGGCGGGTAAAGTGAAACAGGTGGATTCTGCGGTGCACCAAGCGTCCTCCAGAACTGGTACGTAAATAAAATCCATGATGGAAAGAGCTTCATAGTACTAATACATCTCTCAGACCCCCCGCAGATGTGCTTAATAGTGACCTCCGCCCTGAGACTTCTGTGGCTTCTGAAGCATCAAGTCACTTGATAAGTTCTGAATCCGCTGCGAATAAATAGAAAATCATGATATATAGAGCGGTCGTGTATAAGTGTATAATAAAGCCGTCATAATGGAAGAATATGTACAATGGTTGTCATTAACGTGCCTTTCAGATCTGTCTATGCGTGTTTCAGACAGCCGCGCCACTGATTTCTTAGTAGGGTTGACCATGCAGAACATTGCCCAAGAGACATACATCACGAAGCATGTGGCTAAGTTTCACATGCTCTAGATATAGATAGCTCTTTGTCGGGTGACCATATCCTGATGTTCTCTAACTGGTGAAAGTCCTCTTTGGACATAACACATACACAGACGTGTTTCCTGTCGCCCATTCCGTATTCTATACTTGTGGGTTGTCTCGAAGGGTAAGTCCAAGATGTCATTTGTCACCGGCCAGACTCATCCGCATAGCTGATTTGGGATACCACATTGACAACGAGACTGAGGCATATAACCCCCGTCCCGCAACCTCGCGCCTCTTATGAGTTTT